GGTTCCTTAGCTACGGGAGGGACTTCATGATCCCCTCCCCAATCCATGTGGAACACTGGCATTGGCTGGCTTTTCTTCTGTAAGTCTTTTGCATGTAGTCTCATCCATCTTAAGTTCATGTGTGCATCTGCACATCATGTCTGGTAAATATTGTTTCTCTACAGACATCCATTCCCTCTGGCTCTCACAGTATTTCTGTCCCCTCTTCTGTCATGATCCGTGAGCCTTGGAGGGGTGAGGGGTGATATAAATGTCTCATTTAGAGCTGAGCATTTCATACTCTTGAGCTGTCTACATGTTGACTGGTTCTTGGTCTCTGTATTATCTACTGCAAAAAGCTTTACTGATGAAAGTCTATGTGATATTTTAAATGCTTATAGTAAATGTGGAGAAAAGCAGTGCCATATACTTTTGAAGATTTATTTCTATTATTTTTAATATTGTGTGTGTGTGTGTGTGTGTGTGTGTGTGTGCAGAGAGAGAGAGTGCAGATGCCCTCTGGTGCCAAACCCTTGGAGCTGGAGCCACAGACAACTCTGAGCTGAACCAAGTGGGTTCTGGGAACCAAACCTGGGTCCTCTACAAGAGTGGAATGTGCTTTTAACCACCAAGCCATCTCTCCAGCACCTAAGTTTATGTATGGGAAATTTACAACTATATTTTTAAAAACCTGTAACTATGCAAAAGATTGACACGAAGCATATGAAGTTTTATTAGGATGAGTGTACTTACTACTTTAAAATTTTCCTATCTTTATTTTACAGTGAATTATACACTTGTATGATTTTTAGGGTAAAATATATGAAATAATATTAAAAGTTATTTTAAAGTTTATTGTCTTTAACATCACCCGTATTAAGGTTATAAAACCAAGTTCTGTTTCTGTTTATTATCCTGCTCAGAAAAAAAAAAGACCAGAAATTGAGTAGGCAAAAATAATTTTCCATGTCTGTAAATTGTTGGCAGGATTTATGACAGCTTCTTTTATTTAGGGTACTGCATCGAATATTTACACTCCTGTTTCTCCTCACCTTTGTAGTGGCTGATACAAATGTTCCAAGAAGCTGAAAGTTGGGTTCCAGCTAGTCAAGAAAAGTCTAGCTAAGGGCTCAGAAAAAGAATCTGCTTTCTGATCTCTTCTCCCCAATACCATCCTCCAACCTCCCCTCCTCTTTCACCCAACAAACTGTCTTTACCTTGAGCCCAGTGCTATCCTGGAAGCTGAGAACAGAGGTAGATGAGATTCATTCCCATCTTGACAGACTTCCTTCCCAGGATGAGAGGGGCAAGAGGGCAAACACTACAGATACGACCTAGCAGGGGCCCTGGAGAGGGGGATGTTAAAGCTGGTGAGTCAAACTGGAGGACTTCCAACCCTACAAGTGCTGTGAGGTGAAGTTTAGCATCTGATGGAGGTCTGGAATGAGCATGTAACCCAATGAGAGAGGGCCTGAGGTCAGGGCAATCCAAATCCAGCTACAGTAGCTACAAAAGCAGCAAGGGGACAGATACTGCGTGGGGGGCTGCGAAACGCACCAGCGGGGTTGGTGTCGTACTGGTTCATCGGGAGGGGAGAGATCACAGGTAATCCCCGTGAGGTGTTCAGGCAGAGAGGCATTTGGTGTGAGTCTTAGAGACTATGGCAGTAGACATTCTGAAGCACAGTAAACATGCCCAGATCTTATTTTAGGAAGACAGTGCTGGTAGCAGTGTGGCAGATGAACTTATTTCAAGGTTCACCTGTGACAGAAATAGAAATGAGACGGTGGCTACAGTGGTTTGAGGACTAACCAGGGCTTTCTAGGGCCTTGCAGTGGGAAGTGTGGTGAAGCGGATCAGGGAGTTGTGAGGAATGCACAGGTGACAGCTCTGCCACTGGTGGGGGTGGGTGAGAGAAGTCAAGGGTGGGTAGATTAAGGTATATGGCCATGACATTAATTAAGATGAACAGGCTTTGGGGGAGGAGGAGGAAAGACAATGAACTGTGTCCAGACAGGACAGTGAATTACTCCTGGGGGAATTCAGGTAGTTAGAGAGGCTTGGTCCTTAGAGGCAGCTTTAGGCTGGAGACACTGAAGAGAAACATGGCTCTGCAATGGTGGATGAGGTCACCCTGTGGCTAGAGGACAAAAATCTTGGGAATAAGGCTTTGATTCCACTGAAGGGTCGCCTGGTGCCTACTTAAGTTCTCAGTTGTACACAGTTTTCCATGTCCACACTTAATGAATATTCAGTCTAAGTTGCTTGATTCTGCTGACTCTAGCAATTCAGTGGTACTTGGTGAAAGGGAGGCTTGGAACTGGGAAGACCTGGATTGTTTGATTTTGGATGACACAGTCATCTCTTTCTCTTATTTCTTGAAGTATAGATGTCTGGGTGTATGGCTTAGTGGCAAAGCACTTGCCTAGCATGTAAGAGGTGTTAAGTTCCATTGTCAGCCAGGAAAGAATCACATCTAGCATACCAGTTGTAGTTAGGGTTATAGCATGATGTATGTCTAATCAGTGGTCATGTGAAAACTTTTAACCTGAGTCCAAAGCCTTACAGTGCATCATATAAGCTAAGCAAAGGTTCTCCTAGGTAAAGCTACATCATCTACAACTTGCATATTATATGTGTGTATATAATATAAATCAGCAGCAGTGATCAGTCTAAAAAAGAAGCTGACATAATTCCCTTCAGTAATGAGGTTTCTTAGAATGAAAGGGCTTTAAGGTAGGAGCAAGAACATTAGAAAGATGTCACAGTATGTGGGGATGGGGGGTCTTTAAAAGTACCAGCTGCTCTTCCAGAGGACCTGGGTTGTGTTCCCAGCACCCGCATGGCTAACAACCATCTGTAATTTCAGTTCCATGGGATTCTTCTGGCCTCCGTGGGCACTGCGCAACACTGGTATAGTTACATACATGCAGGAAAAACACTCATACACATAATCCAAAACAAAAAAAGTTTTAAAGAGAGGGCGCACACACGAGGAGAGAGAGAGAGAGAGAGAGAGAGAGAGAGAGAGAGAGAGAGAGAGAGAGAGAGAGAGAGAGAGAGAGAGAGAGAGAGAGAGAGAGCTTCAATGAGAGGGATGTTGGGGAGGCCAGTCTCAGAGCAAGTCCTTGGGCAAAGTCCCCTGAGGAATCTCTAGACCAATACCCTGAATAAAGTAGAAATCTTTTGTTTTTAAATTGTTGTAAAGATTTAATCTTTAAAATGTTATGTGTATGAATGTCTGCATGTATGTATATCCACCACATGTATGTCCTGCCTATGGAGGCCAGAAGAGGGCATCAGATCCCTTGGAACTCAAGTTACACTGATGGTTGTGAGCTGCCATATGGATGCTGGGAACCTCTGCAAGAACGGCAAATGCTCTTAACCACTAAGCCATCTCTCCAGCCCTGAAATTTGACTTTTTATAGCCCTTTAGGAGTGGTGTGATGTTTTACAAGTGATTTAGGTCAATACAGCATACCTGACAAAGATCATGGAGGAGCTGGATACCGGTTAGGGTCATAAATCAGGGGCTGCAGTCAGACAGACCACAGCACAGACACCTTAACTCTCTGTTCCAGAGAGAGCTGCAGGAGGTATGGTCTGACCTCTTCAGGCTGTGGGATTTGAGCTTTTATCTTTCAGGGGCAAACCCATGTTCTAACATACAATAGGATTTCTCATTATGGAGCTGGGACTGGCCTCTAAACTTACTGTGTAGCCTAAGCTGGGCTCAAAAAATTCACAGCAATCCTCTTGTCTCAGCTTCTCAAGTGCAGAGATTACACATATACATGGGCAACCAGCATATTTCAAACAGATAACGTATTAATTGATGTCTGAGCTGGCTCTGGCACATCAATATTTGGAAGGTAGATTAGAAAGGTATAAACGAGAGGGCCCATTTGTTTTTCTCTCCATTCTGATTTTTATATAGGCCTAGCACACTAATTATAACTGTGAGACGAGCTCAAGCATGCAACATTATGATACAGGCTGTGGAGTCAATTCAAGGAACAACTTTATTCTAGTCTACGGCACAAGTTTTTACATACATTTTAGTGGTTTTGATGGCATTACTTTTGAGCAGACTTTAAAGGAATCCACAAAAAGTTAATACATTAAAAATAAAATATACACAGTAAAACAACAGATACCTAGATGTTCAGAATCATGCATATAAGGGTGGTCTGGCTGGTGTTATCCTTGGGTATTCTTGCCTACTGAAAATTCACCAGCAAATGTCAGTTCTGATCCTCATTCACCTATGATTTACCAAAATCAGAGCCTGAACATACACACACATAAAATAAACTCCCTTTTAAAGTCACGTCAGTACTGAAGTTCAATTCATAAGCACATCATCAATCTGATAATTCCATTGAGCAAGTCCATCTCTAGATGAACAGGCAAGGTGATTTCATTTCTTAAAACACCAACAAGATTCATTAACCAATGAAGCAATTAATATACCAATCTTAATATAAGACATTGAGGGAAAACTAGAAAAAAATGTATAAATACCACTCCACTGAGCCAGGTAAAACCCACGGACTACTGACACAAATTTCTGTCAAACAATGCTTTATATATTCTATAAAAAAAAAAAAAAAAAAAAAACCGAAAAAGGATTCTAATGATAACTCAAGGTGTGGCATAAATGTGCATTTAGTTCCACAATTTTAAGTGAGTATCAAACTGACACAATAGAGCTAAGTGACAATGACTTAACCACAGTGACCAAACCGGCAGCACAACTATTCGCCTTAATTCAGAATGTGCAGGAGGAATGTGTGGCAGATGGCCAACCCAGCAATACTGTAACAATGCGGACAGGATACTCCTCCGCTGCTGAGAGACCCTGGTGAAAACGTGGTGAGCGTGCAGGAGGAATGTGTGGCAGATGGCCAACCCAGCAATACTGTAACAATACGGACAGGATACTCCTCCGCTGCTGAGAGACCCTGGTGAAAACGTGGTGAGGGCAGAGAGAAAAGCTGGGTCTTCTGAAAAAGTTGATGATATCAAAATACTTTCCCATGACTGGTAAAGCAAACCAGGTCAGGTATGTTAGGCCCAAAGCAACACTGGATTCAGAGTTAGAGATTGGCAGAAAAGTTTGAAAACTGCAGTTTCTAAAAATTGGCAAATTCTCCACACTTAATAAAACCATCAGAAGAGGTATGTTTGTTAGTGGAATGTTAACCGCTTGCTGCAAAACTTCACAAGGTGGATGTGGAGCCATAGGGATGGGCTTCGATGGAATAGGTTGTAAAAATTTACAAAAAAACTAAAGTTTCTACTTAAAAAATAATCCTATTATGCCAAGATGAAATATGGTAGTGTGGGCTCTGTCCATGATTCTTTACACAGTGAACGGGAAAAGCGATAGAAATGACTGTTTTTTTCTTAAAAAGGAAGTTTTCTTATTGCGCTTTCAACAAACTGAGCTAGCAATTTAGAAAAATCATCTAGCAAAATCTGTAAAACAAAAATACAAAATTCTGGTTTGTAAACATCAGTTGGCCAAGTCTACCCAGAGCCCTTCATGATAGTGGAATGGAATGAATAATTTTGTTGGTTGTGAGGAGTAAAGCTCCAGAACACAGCTTTTATACTTTCACAGTAATTATACTCAAAAATTATAAATTAAGTCAGTGCAGTTGCTCACTCTTCACTGTGCAACTTTCAGCTCTCACCCCACTCCCAAATACTACAACCGAGAGAACACTGTACGGAGACCGAGGACAGACTGGTCACAAATGGCGCATAAAGTCCGTGGGACTTCGGTAAAGGTATTTCCAAATGGCGTAGTAGTGTACTGCAGCTGCCGTGGCCACGAACAGGTGCCAGATGGCGTGGGCAAACGGAATGATGCCGTCACTCTTGAAGAACACAACTCCCAAGCAGTAAATCAAGCCCCCGCAGGCGAGCTCCTCAAGTCCATCAGTGTTACTCTGTCAGCAGAGGGAAAAGTACAGTTTGATGTTACCCTGATTTGCCAAAGACTGCTGGTTTTCTATGTAAGTAAGAAGCTCGGTGTGAACGGAACCCGAATCCGTAAACATAAAGCAACCATAAAATGCCTTGCCCACTTGACCCTTTGACCAGCAATCCTCATGTGATCTGAGCACCGGTCATATTTACATGCTCCACAGGACAAACAGGCACATTCCGCTCATTTTAACCCATATTTACTCACTCTGCAATCACAGAGAGCCTTGCAAGCTTATCTTAGTGCAGTGGAATCCTCACTTCATCTTCCCCTTTGAAAACTCTATTCCTCATGAGGCCTGCCCAAGCTGCATCTCATACAGGGCTGTCACATCCCTTTGACCTCTCTAAAATTGGTCTATACTGATTACTTTTTTGGATCGCCCCAGCTTGTGTGAGTTGGGGGCATCCTTACAGCTGACATAGGACCATCATACAAAACAAGGGATTTCCTAGCCCGCCTGATGCTTCAGGTGTTTGTGTCTGAGCCTGGGCATTTATCAGCTGAACAGGAAAGTTGAGTCCTGTGTGTTTCAGGTCAAAAGGAAGAATTTTCTAGGATTTTGGGGGGATTCAAAGACCTAGGCCCACCTACAAGATTAAACTGGCTTGAATGAATGAGTAAAGAGAGAAAAGAGGGAGAGCTGAAAACTGATGAAGAAACAATTCCTAAGCACTAGGGCAAAAAGGCCACAGGCCTAGAAACCTAGGACAGATGACAGCCAGGTCTCAGAAGGGAACAGGAATGCAGATGTCCTAGAGACCTGGGTGCTAATGCCAGCAGCCTTGTGACCAAGTCCCTGTGGAGGAGGTCCTTGATGCCAAGTCAGGCTAAAAGCAAAGGGAAATTCAACTCAGCCACCTGCTTGGAAAGTGCCCGTGGGCCTGGGCAGACAGCAGTGACAATAGCCCAGAGTGCAGTAGGGGCCAGGTGCGAGGATCTAGGCCCAGCTGTGAGGATCAGCCCTATTTTAAACATTCACAGAAGCCTTTGGGTTTTGTAGAATTAAAAGACGAAGAAAAAGCCAACTCAAAATGACCAATACCAGATTCTCCTTATTGGTAAGAAAGGACTTCAGCCAGACTTGTCTTTAAAAGGTAAAAATAAAGAAACAAAACAGAAAACCAACAACCCCAAACCAACCTATCAAACACATTTATTACTATGTGCAGGTTGCAGAACCATCAACCTATCATTACACAAATTCTCATGCACACTGGGAACACTGTTATAGGACAAAGGCTTCCCTGAGATTCTTGGGGGTACAGGAACCAAGTGGTAAAAGTCACTCATCTAATGCCACCTCTTTATTTTAGAGGGGAAGAGACTGAGGAAGAGAACTGACTGGCAGAGCCTTGAGGCTGACCACCACCTCACTCCTGTTTCAGAGACATGGTAATCGGCTTTGGCTTAGTTCTGACAGACCCCGACCCTCTTCGTCCAAACCAACAGGAGATCAAACCAAGTGTACCAGTCAGTTTTCCAAACATATTCTGAGACAGTTCCTCCAAACACACTTAATTCTAGAAGAACCAAGTGTTCTCTTCCTTACTCATGCTGTTACTGTTACCCCATGCCAGAAACTCTTTGAAGCACTCACAGGTATTTATTCACTTTAATCTCTACAACCCTAAATTAGGTATTATTATTACCAGCATTTTACTGACAGGAAAACCAAAACAGAGGCCAAGACCTTTAGGCACCAGTTCCGGGCTGATGGGCAGCGAGTGGGCCCCTGCCGCCTTGTTACAGTCTTCATCAGGTGAATGCGTTTACACAACTGCTAGATTTATTAAATACTGAACTCCGTCAAATGCTTTTTCTTCATCTGTTGACATGACTTTTTTCTCTTATTGTCTGGCCTGGAACTCACAAGAGACCGACCTACCTCTGTCTCCCAAATGCTGGGATTAAAGGCATGCACCACCACATCTAGCCCTGACACAACCAAAGTTTTCCTCCTTGATTCTCTCAATGTGACAAATTTCAATGACTGATTTCTAAGAGATGTACCAACCTTGCATTCCTAGAATAAATCTAGGTTATATCTTTTTACATACTGATGAACTAGACTGGAAATATTCCTTGGAGCATTTTCTGTTTCATGAAGAGTACTGGTGTTCTAGTTTGCTTCTTCATTACTGGGACAAAATACTACCTTGGGGTGGAAAGGGTTTATTTATCTTACATCTCCCAGGTCACAGGTCATCAGGGAGCCCAAGGTAGGAACTCAGGGCAGGAAACTGGAGGCAGGAGCTGGAGCACAGACCATGGAGGAATGCTGCTTACTGGCTTGCTCCCCTGGCCCCTACTCAGCCTGCTTCCGTATGCAACACAGGCCCACCTGCCCAGGGGTGGCACTACCCCCAGTGGGCTGGGCCCTCCCACATCAAAATCAAGATGCCCCATGGACATCTCAATTCAAAACATCGCAGAGGCCAGTCCAATGAAGGCAATTCCCCAATTGAGGCTCCCTCAACCCAGGTGTCAAGTTGACACTAAAGCTATCCAGCACAACTTGGCTTATCATTTTCCTGCAGTGCTTTTGTACATGTGGTTACCAGGGTAGTATTGGCCTTATAAAATGAACTGGCAAGTGTTCCCTCCACTCGGGTAGCCTAAGCTGGCTTTGAACTCCTGATCCTGTCTCTATCTCCCAAGTGCTGGGATTATACAAGCATGAGGCACCCACCCAGCTCCACTCCATTTTGAAAGTTTGTATTGAAATGTCATTATTTTGACCCCAAGTTTAATATCAGACAGAATGTATTGATGAAGACTTAGGGACCTAGTTTCTCTGAAGGAAATCTGACTAGCATTTAGTTTCCTTAAGCTTATAGGGCTAGATCTTTGTTTTTTCTTGAGTTTTTTGTAGGGAAAACTATCTTTCAAGGAATCTGTCCACTTTATCTAAGTTGCTGTATTTATTGGTATAAAGTTGTTCACAATATCCCCTTAACCCTTTCACAGCTGTGGGATCCAGAGTGATATTCCCTATTTTGTGCCTCATAATGGTATTTTATGTTTAATCTATTTCTTGTTCAGGCTCCCTAAATGTTATCTATTCTAACTTCACAAAGAAACAACTTTGGGTTTCATTGATTTTTCTCTACTTTGATCCATTTTCTACCTGATTTCTACTTCCTTCTTATTTTTTCAGTGCTAAGGACTGAATCTAGGGCCTCACACATGCCAGGTAAGCTCTGTGCCACTAAGCCATACTGAGCCCTCAAATTATTTCTGTACTGCTAGCTGTTACAGGGTTCTGTTTTCTCTTCCAAGATGAAGGCAGAAGGTTAGATCATGGACTTTAAAACTTTCTTCTTTCCTAAAAGTGTTACTCAAAGTTCTGCAAAAAGCAGAACCAATATGATGTTCCTGTGTGCATATGTATATGTGTACATGTCTATGTGTACTGACTGAAGGCTCATGTCATTATGAGAGCAGCAAGCCTGAATTCTACAGTGGGCCGAGAGGCTGTAGTCCAGGCACTGTTGTTGCTGCACCCTAAAGGCAGTGCAGAGGCAAAGATCCTTCCTGGGAGGTCTCATTTTCCCTAAGGCCCTGAGCTGAGTGGTTGAGGCCCTACCCACATCACAGGGAATGCGCTCTGTGTCTACTGAGCTAAATGCTAATGTCACCTAACAAGTCCCTCCATAGCAATCAGGCTGGTAACTGAAAGATACCCGGTAACATGGCCTAGTCCAGTTGACACAAAATTACCCTGCACATGGATGGGATCACCGACAGCAGCACTTCCCTCACAGCATGGCTTTGGCTGCATTCCACTAATGGTCAGGTTGGGCTTTTATTACTATTCAGTTCAAAGACCCATGTAGAAGTCTTTAATTTTTAAGTATGTAGGAGTTCACAAGATCTTTTCTGCTGTTGTTGCACAATTTTAATTCTTTAACACTGAGGATTATTTCACGGCCTAGTATCTTTTCTCCTTTGATGAAAAGATTTTTTCCTATCAGGTCACTGGCAGATTGTGCTGTCCGAGCTGCTGTCCTTCCTCCTTGCTTCCATGTGTTTAATTATTTGTTCAACTACTGGGAGTGGATCTTAAAGTCTCTGCCTGTAACTGAACATTTGCTTCTGTTTTACATGTTAGATCTCTTCCACATATCTTGAGGTACTCTGTGAAGCTGTATAGTCACTTAGGTCTGCAGTATCTTCTTAGGAGCAGTGCTCTGATGTTATGGAATACCCACTTAAGCAGGAAATAGTGTTTGTCTTGAAATGTTAGGTCTGGCTTTTTTAAGCACTGCGGTGTACACGTGATTAGTGTTTTCATAACACAGTTTTACCATTCTTCTACTTTAACCCTGTGTGCATCTTTATAAAGTGTGTTTCAAATAAACACATACAACTGAGTCTACTTTTTTTTGGTCTGTTTTTAAGACAGGGTCTCCCTGTAGCCCCAGCTGGCCTGGAACTTGCTATGCAGACCAGGCTGGCCTTGAACTCACAGAGATCCAACTGCCTCTGCCTCCCAAGTGCTGGGATCAAAGGCGTGCGCCACCGTGCCAGACCAGTCTACCTTATTTTTGAGACAAGGTCTCTCACTGGACCTGGAGCTCACCTATTCATCTAGGCTGGCTCTTTACGTGGGTACTGGGAACTGAACTCAGGTTCACATGCATTCATGTTACCATTAAGCATCTCCCCAACCCCGGATGATGGGCTTTTGAGAATTAGCTCTGTCTGCCATGAAGTCAGCTACCTCTTTACCACCTGCTCCCTTCCTTGATGCCTGAGCCCAGAAGCAACAGCCAAGTGACCAAGGACTAAAACCTATGACATTATGAGCTGGACTAAATCTTTCCTTTTACTTTTTTTCCCAAGTATTTGTGGCATGCTGATTAAAAAAAAAAAAAAAAAAAGAGGTAAGCAACTAAGACACAGGGCTAGAGGAACTCTGTTTTTAGGGTGTGGCTCTGGCCACCCGAATGCCAGCAATGTTTGATGTTCAGCATGGTTTTTCCACTTGGCATGGTAGAAACTGCAATGTCTCCCTGAACTGGGTGCTCTTTGGAATTCCCCTTCAGCCCATGACCACAAACAGCTATTCCCCATGAGGGCCTACAAAGTAGTTCTGCCCTGCAGAAATCCTGCTTGATGATTGGCCGAAGACTCCTTCGTAGGTTTCTGGAGCTCTCTCAGACCTTTCCCCTCCCTGGGTCACAGCCTCACAAACTCTAGCTTTCTCTGCAACCAGTTTCCACACAGACTGTGCTCTCTGGGCTCAACCTCCTCCAGCTGCTATTTGAAGTGTTCAGGCAAACAACCGGGGAGAATTCTAAGTTCAGCTTATGGCTTCTCTTCTTTCGAGGCTCACAGTCCTGCACTCGGCATGCTTAATGCCACTCGGCATGCTTAATGCTCAAACCCAGTTACATTCATTCTTTCTCCGGGTCTACAGTTCTTAATGGCACAAGGGTTAGTCCGAGATCCATGCCTGACCAGCGCCACAGCTTCAAGTCTTCACTCACCCTTAGGTGACCTTTTTAATCTGAACTCTGTCTAGCTCCCCAGCTCTATCAGAAGACTTGTGCAACCTGCACACTTACCTGACCATGCACAGGTGCATATTCAAAGGGGTGTGTGTGTTCCACATTTCAAACAGTGAACTACTACAATTCTCCAAAGACACTGGATCTCTCCCCAAGGTACGCAGTTATCCTCTACCTGCAACACCTACCTCACTCCAGCCATTTCCTGGCTTCTACTTGTCTTTCTAAATCAGTTTAACAATCACTATTTTAGTACTTTGATCTCATGTTTCCATAGCAACCTGAGTTTCCCTCCAACCAAGGACATTATAAAATGTTGTTATAGTTTCCTATTGAACAGGAATTGCATTTGCCTGCTGTATCCTAAGTTCTGTGAGGATTACCTGCTTCGTTATCATACACATTAGTCACCTGCTATTGTACCACCATGAAAGTGCCAATTAAGGATTTGGGCTAGTTAAATATACTAGATAAACCTGCTTTTATGACACTCAGAGGGAATTTACCTGAAATCCGGCTCTAATAATTAATAACCAGTCTACACAGACTGTGCTTACATCGCTGGGGCTGTCCTGAATTGTCCTCTATTTACAGGGCTGCCACGCCCATTTTCTCTTCTCAGTCATGTGCCTCCCTCTCCTCACTGCTCTCTGGTGTTTTTATCATCTAAACTAGAAGGGGAAATCACATGTGTATGTGTGCATGCTAGGCAATTATTAAAACCATCATTAATCTCATATCTCAAGAAAACACATTAACTTTTCATAAGCTGTATTTCCTAAAAAGTTAGATCCAGGTTTTAACTCTGACAGGCATTTTTATGAGGAGGGCATGCCATACAGCGGACTTCCACCCTTATGCTGTACATGGGAGCTCACAGGTACAATTCTTCCAGCCACTGAAAGCTGAGAAGAGAGTTCAACTGGGCCTCCGTAATTAATACAGTGGAACAAAAGATGCTGGAGATCATAAGCTAAAGGTACAAGTAACCGGCAGGAATGGACCAGGAGACTGTTTCAAAGTGACACATACACATATGTGGTCACTACACCGTGACAGATTTCTAAACAGTAATTCAACTTGAAAGGTTATTTAAAATATATTGCATGCAGCACTCTGCTGAAGTCTGAAACCTGCCTACATTTGAAGTTCCCAGAAGTTATTTTCAAGCAAAGGTTTGAGTTTTGTTTTTGTCTTTAAAAAGTATTTTCCTTTCTTGGAAAGGTAAATAATATAACTTAAAAGCAAATGAGCCAGGTGTGGTGGTGCATGCCTTTAATCCCAGCACTTGGGAGGCAGAGGCAGGCAGATCTCTGTGAGTTTGAGGCCAGCCTGGTCTACATAGTGAGTCCAGGCCAGCTGGGGCTACAGGGAGACCCCATCTCAGAAAGAACAACAACAACAAAAGACAAAAACAAAAACCAAAAAAGCAAATGAAAGAAAAAAAAAAAAAAACAGTAAAAGGATTTGAAAACTACCCAAAGCAAATGATGTGGGATTTTTTTGTTTGTTTATTTGACATAAGAGCTCCTAGACCTCAAACTTGTAATTCTCCTCTTTGATTGGGTGGGACTACAGGTGTGGGTCACCGCAGCCTTAAGATTTAATTAGTCAGTAATTTAGGTTTTCTTTACTGTAACAAATCTCAAAATTGCCTCTTCCAGAGATTCAGTGTTAAACAGCTACACCATTTAATTAGAAACATCCACCTTTATGTAGTCACATAATTTGACTACATTCTTCTTTGAAAGCAGGGTAGGTGAGGTGGTGGAAAGAAGGAAAACAGAAAGGCTATCCAAACAAAACACATAAGGAAGGGTGTCAATGGGGAAGCATACCCAACATTCAGCTCTGCCAAGTCGTGGATGGCACCTAGTACAAGTCACCTGCACACTGAACTATCTATGGATTTCTCTCTTAAGTCCACAGTATTAGCTTAGCTATGTCAGCTTTAAAAAGAAAACTGTCTACAATTATGTCAGCATCTTGGGGATGTAGAAGGAAATAATTAAAATTATGAATCTGCTTCTCACCATTGACGTCACCACCAAGGCTGGAGAAAATCCCATTGTGAGATAGAAAAAGAGCTCAACCACCTTATACCTGTAGGAACACAGATGGGTTAGACTTGCACATTTCTGAACACTTAGATCAGTTACATACCAGCTTTCCCTTTTATATTTTGAAAGAGAAATGTAAACGTTTTATTCAAAGGAAACGCATTCCCCAGCAGGACGCACTGTGCCTCTCCCAGACACACCATCACCAGGACGCACTGTGCCTCTCCCAGACACACCATCACCAGGACTCACTGTGCCTCTCCCAGACACACCACCACCGTGCCTCAATGAAGTAGCATTTCTTTCAGATGACAAAGGCAGAAAACCCCACTGCTACCTAGAACATGCTTTCTGCCAAGGCTAGGCATACTCGGATCCAATGCACTGTCTTGCCCTCTCCTACTTCTCTAGTCCACCCGTCACCACTCCTATGCAGAATCACGAAGAAGCTGAAGTGGAACAGATGGAGTGCAGCCTTCTCCAGGGCAGAGGGACAGCAGCATTGAGGAAAGGTGGTATTTCATTTGTTTCTGCATTTTCACGTGTACAAATTCCAGTCACTAGGACTTACTCCATTAGGCTGCAGGATATCTCAGAATGAACTCTAACCCTGGCAGAGGAAGAACAGGCTCCATGATATAGCTTACACCAGAAAGTGTGGAATAGAGAAAAATGAGAGCTGCTGTCCTTCACTTCCTGTGTTATCCCAGGGCATGATCTGGGAATTTGAGCCCAAGAGCAAACTGTTCCCTTGGATCTCTATGTACAACAGAATTCCACTTCGTATTTACTACATTCAAAAGGTATTTAAGAAAAGTTCAAAGTCAGAGAGAATTAGTGAAAACAACCATTTTCTTCTGACAGAGTACAATTCAATATTCTCTGAAAAACACACCATGCGAATTCTGACAGCCACTCTGTCAACCACAATAGATAAAGGAATTTAATGAACTGTAAATTAGCAATTTTAATGACAATGAATTCATGGCTGTGAGAGTCTCACATTCAATTATAGAAGACAATGAAAGGCTAGAGAATGGGACTGGACACTGGGATCCTAAGGTCCAGATGAGTCACATATTTGATGCGTGTCCTCAACATTCTCAAAGTCCAAAGTAAAACAGATGACCTCAAAGTCTGCTCTAGAGCCACAATGATAAATTTCAATATACCTTTCTGTTTCTATTGCTCAACACTTATGGAGAAGCTATGAATACGGGTAAAAAGCTGTGCCCAGAGCTAGGTCTTTTTCTCAAGGAAGCCTAGATGAATACCTTCTGGGTTTCTAAATAACTACTATGGTGGGCATTTAATATCTGTTATCCTCAATCTCTAGAGGAATTTTGAAAAGGATTATTCTCCCTATTCGATGTCTGTGAAACACAGATAGGGTGAGTTTGCCTCAGGATGAGAAATGACGTCCCTATGGCTCTAAAATGACTGACCACATTGTCCTCAACCACGTCATTGTACACGTGCCATTATATCTTCCCACCACAACCTGTCCATCAATAATGAATTCTAAATGGGTTCAAAGACTTACTAAAATACTATATATTGTATTTATGTATTTCTACTATTTTGAAGTACAAGCACAGAGGAAACCACATGGCAAGACAGGAATAACATTGGCAGTCACTTTTTAACCCATCAAACAGAAATGATTTTCTCTTACTTTTCATGGTAGAGAAATACATAAATGGTTCCTCCAGCTGCCATGAGCCAGATAAACCAACGCATATGAGATGCCAGGGGTCCAAGTTCACGGAGATTTAACCTACAACGTAAACATGACAACAAAGAACAGAGAGGATAAATGAAGGGAATTCTTAGGGCCTGTGTGTTCATCTCGACCCTGGGAACAGACAGCACGACAGCAGAAAGAAGGTCACGGGCACAAGGAGGCCCCAAACAATTCAAAGATAAAGACTGTCCGTTGAACGGTAATATTAAGAACTAGTTGAGCATGGTCTAAAAATAGCACCAGTTAAAAACAGACATGCTGCAGAGAACCCAGTCCCAGGACACTTGTCAAGCTGGACCCCCCAGCAGGGCTGACTGAAATGTAGGCTGTATGCTCGTTTATTTCTGACCACGTATTTGGGGATGGACTGCTTACAAAGCTTAATTGAGAACCGTGAGTAAAATCCTGAGCCAGGATCACATACCCACAGTGGACACCTAATGCACACATCTCTGTTAGCAACCACTCTGCCAAGACTCAACATGAGCAGAACTCCTCCAGCATGGGTTCTGGAAGATGCTTTGTCAGAATTCAACATACTGCAACTTCACGTGGACTGTCAGATTAAGAGCATGAGAAAATGCTCTGTTTGGCTGTAACTATAAAATTAATATTTCCAAACAGAAAATTAACTACTGATAAATCTAAAACTACATGTGAACAAACTGCCTACTTTATGTGTGATTCTTCACCTTATATTTAGAAGTTTTATGTTATGTATTTTACTTTAAATTGCTTCACAAAAGCTTTCAAGCATTCTTGCTCTAATAGGAATCAGACCTATAATTTAGTGAGAGGTATTGGAGGGAGCTAGCACTTACTTTTGATTCTAACAGATAATTACATTTCTTTTGAGTGACTGAGGCTGCAGACGCCTGAATGTAGAGGCCTGCTGTTTCTACTGACAACAGCAGGTGATGGCTTAGTAGAAACATCTGAGTGTTTAAAAATGGACCAGGTCTTAACAGAGGAAGACTCATTTTTTTTTTTTTTTTAAATTTTGGGTTGCAAAGCAACAAGAAATTGATTTGTCTCAGAAGGGCAGTAGTAACATCAAGAAAACTACAGGGAGACTAGTGTGGTTAGTCACTTAGATAGCAAAAGATGTGAGACTGTGCTAGTCAGTCACCTGAAGACACTGACTTTCAGAAGGAAGCTTGCTTTTCCTCATACATATTTTCAGCATTTTCACTGGCCAAGTTCATTGGTAAGTATTCCAATAAGCAGCAGAGGTACACAGGAATGAAGGAGGGGAAAGGCTGTATATTTCAAGAGTGAGCCTGCTAGCTACATTCAAGTTCACAGCACTTCCTCTGAAACAGTTCCATGCCAGATACTCTAGACAGCAGTAATACTCCTTCAAATCTGTAGTTAAACCAAACGGGGTGAGTGCGTGCATGCACTGGGGGTGGGGGGAAGCAGAGAGTATGCAGGAGGGCTGCAGGCAGGGTGGAGGGGGAGAGGGGGAAGTAACAAGGAATTCTAATCATAACACTTCAAGAGCGAGACTGTATCTTACCATGGAGCGTAGGAAGCAGCAATGAAAAAATAGATGACCATTCGATCACACATGTGGAAACAGTGCTCCACTGTCCTGTTGGGGAAGTCAACAAGGCAGGCAGTTTACACAAACCTTTCAGACCGGAAGTATGGGTTATCACTCCCCAATAATCCCCGTGCTTGCTCCAGATTCTCGTGGCATTTATAACTTGCTCTTCAAAGCCATAGCTCTTCTTTTTAATGATAGGAAGCCACAGTAAGAGCTTTATGTTGTTTTTTAGGTTGCACACAACAGACAGGAGACACGGGGCACCCCGTGATAGTCAGGCAATGCAAGTCTTTCTTGAGGACAGACCAGCCCCTCGCTATCTGACTATACAGTGCACACTGTCCTGATGCCCGGTTAACATGCCCCAAACTGAGGTCATATTCTTTTCTTTCTAATTTACTTTCTGACAGTTTTACACATCTACATGGCCATGACGCATCCTGGTCATCCTCATCCTCCACTCGCTTGTCCTTCCTCCCTGCTAGTTCCCCACCCCACTTTCATGTCCTTTGGTTTTTGTTTTTGCTGAGATCACATTCTTATTTTTTCAGATGACTTAAAAACAAACAAAAAAATCATTCACTTTAAACATCCCAGGGTAGATAGTAAGTTGTGTTTAAAAAAAAAAAAAAAAAAAGGTAAATTCAGTAAGGAATAGCAATTATAAACAAAAAAGGCATGATTTGTTACAAGATAGTAGCCACTTGATTTCTAAACTGGTTCCAAAATCAAAGTCAGAAAGTATATATGTAAAGATCTTGCTCACTGACATCTACTCACAAAATGATAGAAAGATCTGCCCTTTACTGAGGTCATTTTAAAAAGTACAAATACATAATATGGTACGTTTTGGGTTTTTTTGAGACAGGTCTCACGTATCTCAGGCTGGCCTCAAACTTGCTAAGCACTTGATGGTGGCCTTGAACTCTTTATTTTTAATTTTACTTATTTAAAGTATGAGTGTATTGCCTGCATGCATGTTAAGTACACCCATGTCATGCAATGCCCACAGAGGTTAGAAAGAGGGCATTGCGTTCCTGACAGTGAAGTTAGGAATGGTTGTTAGCTGCCATGTGGGTGCTGGGAACAGAACTTGGATCCTCTGCAAGAGCAGCCAATGCTCTTAACCACTGGGTCATCTCTCCAGCCCCAGGTCTTGAACTCTTGATCCTCTTGTCTCTACCTTTCACAGTGCTAGGATTCCAGGCCTGCACCACCTTGCTCAGCTTTATAGCATGTTCTTGAATCTATTTCTAGTTTTCAGGGGTAAACGCTACCATTGGGTGAAGCTGCAGAACTAGGCTTTGCCTCAGCAAACAGTGGGCTACAGCAGACTGATGAGGACTTGTGTTAGTGAGAAAGAATGGTTTTCAGTGTACTGTGCAGAAACTACAACGTACTCCCAGATGATAATTCAGTTACAGGTCTAAAGAAGCAAGCATCTATCTGATCAAACGTCACTATCCCTGAGAATCACCTGGAGAATTAATAAAGGCAGTCATGCACTCCCAGCTGCAAGATTCTACTATGAAAGGGCAAGGAACAGGACAGACTGAGTCAGACCTAGAATCTCATTCATGAACTGCCAACTGGCTGGCCCTGGTGGCAGCCTATAATTCCAGCTACTGGAAGACTGAGGAGGGAGAATCCTGAGTTCTAGGTCTGCCTGGTATATATAGTGAGTTCCAGGTCACTCTGAGTATCAGAGTGAAACTCTCTCAAAAGAAAATGTAAAAGCAAGGAGCTGGGGACACAGCTCAGTGGTAGAGTATTTGCCTTTCACGCACGAGGCCCTAGATTCAATTCCTATTACCATGGACGCCACCAAAAGAAAGAGATCTGCCGCCTACCGTTCGGACTCTCACTGTCGTCAGGAGTAAAAGAGGGTAATCTGAGAGCGCAGAATGCTAAAGTGGTGATGTAGGTGATGCACTTCGCACAATAAATGCCCCTTCTCTCTTTTACTGTAAGGTTTCACTGGATATTTAAAAAAATGATATGACTGAATACTGAGCAAACGCCTCCGTGTGGCTGCTGAGTCTGGCACTGCTCTTCCAAGGTTCCGGAGTCTTGTTTCTCCTCTACCTTCCTCCCCGGCCTGTCAGGGAGGCTCTGAGTACTGAAGCGGCATCTACAACTCTTTATTGATTCGGAAACCTAGACATCAAAGCCAAGTGTGCTGAGGCAACCGCAAGTGCCAGGCTGTACCAAGAGATAATGAAGTGCCCTGCTTCTAGACAGCCTGGCCCTGTGACTGCATCCCGAGAAGCCAGCACGGGTGCTTCCGAGATGGTCCTGTGAGTGTGCTCCTGGGCATGCCCTTGTGAGTCAATGCTGTGGTTTTATTTTAATCCCAGGGAACTGTCACCTTATAGGAAAAGGTAGCAGAATGAAAACTTCATGTAATATCATAAAGGAAAATGGTGAAAAGCAGGTGTGACACAGGGCTAGGGGTCGGGTGCTCGGGCAATCCGATTCTGTTGGTCTCAGTGACTCAGGCAAGGTATGCCACATCTCAGAATCTGTTTTCCCAACTGGAAATCAATGGGTGCTCACTAGATGATGTCCTAGTGCCCTTCCAGTTCTAAAACGCCATGATCCCACAACACATGATGAAACCAGTAACCATCTCAGGAATCCCAAATCCTGCTTGTAAGTAAAGCATATAGTTTTAATATTCGATCGTTTAAAAGGTTTGAGATTTGTGTGTGTGTGCTGTATGCATGTGTGTTTCAGTGTATGTAAAGATGTCTGTGCACATGTGTGCATGCATCTGGATGCCAGAGGCTGGTGTCGAGTGTCTTCCTCAATCACTCTTCAGCTTATCTTTTTGAGAGTAGGTCTTTCATTGAACCTAGAGCGTACCAACTGGTCAAAGACTTGCTGGCCAGCAAACCTCAGCATCCTCATTTATACCTCTCTATCACTAGGATTGCAGGCATGTGCTTCCACATCTGGTTTTTGATGTGGGTGCTAGAGACTGAACTCAGGTTCTGACAAGAATTTAACTGACTGAGTCATCTCCCCAGTCATCTGACTTTTTTGTTGCTTTGTTTTGTTTTTTGAAACAGGGTCTCATTCTCTAACTCTACTTACTCCAACTCACCATGTGACCCAGGCTGGCCTCAAACTCATGGCAATCCTCCTGCCTCAGCCTCTCAAGTACTGGGATTACAGGTGCAAATGCCATAATGTCTGACAAGATTCTTTTTTTTTTTTTTTTTTTTTTTGACATTTTATAAAATCAAAATGTCAGGGCTGGAGAGATGGCTCAGTGGTTAAGAGCACTAGCTGTTCTTCCAGAGGACCTGGGTTCAGTTCCCAGCACCCACATGGTGGCCAACAACCACCTGGAATTCCAGGTTCAGGGGATTTGATGCCTTCTTCTGGCCTCTGCTGGTATTGCATGCTTATGGTGCACCTACATATATGTAGGGAAAACACTCATATACACAGACTAAAATAAATAAAGCAAGCAAACAAACAAGGTCTTATCTTTTGACACTTTTTTTAAAAAGCAAGGTCTCATTTATATAGCCCAGATTGGACTCAAACTTTGACTCCTTCTCCCTCTACCTCCTGAGTGCTATGATCAAGCATGTGACACAATGCGCAGGCCAAAGGTACTGTTTTTCAGTATTACTTTGAATCACTTTTCATAGGCTCTGAGTGTTCCTTTTCTGAGAATTCTTTTTTTTCTTTTGGGTTTAATCAATTCAGTTATTGAAGATTTCTATTTTATAAGCACCCAATCCCACATAAATGATGCTGCCGCCCAAATTAATATTGACTAAGAAGAAAAGTACTTTTATGTCAAGGTCCACAGTATTGTTCGGAAAGTGCCTCACAGTTAATAATAGCAAAGTATGTGAATTCTGAATAATATACTTAGAACTTGAGAGCTCGGTTTTACTCTATCTCCTTACCCAGTCCTATATTGTTTGTAGAATTTTCAAATCACAATCACTTTATGATTCAGCATTCTAATTCTTACTCTGGTGATGAAGAAGCTGAGGCTCCATAAGATGGAACTACTCACTCAAGGTTGAGCAGGAAGACCAGAACTCAAAGCCCACGTGGTGACTCCGAGTTCAATGTGCTTTCTTGCTAAGTCACAGTCAGTGCTCTCTCATAGCATCCCTGGTGAGGATGACAGAACAGGAAACTAGCTCTCAGGGTATTGCTCTAGGGTATTGCTTTCTTAGTTATATACACGGCAGGGTGTCTTTAAATCTGTCCAATCCAAAGGAAATGTCATGATGATGGTGAACACTAAAGCCTACAGGGTAGTAAAATGTCTACCCTTTGCCCCACTAACTAACACAGCAGTCTGGGAACTGAGAGCATGCCGAGTCACTAAGTTGGTCTGCTGGAAGGAGTGCCATCCACTGTACCTTAAGTGGCTCTTTTTCCATGATACAATGTGAAATACCGTGGAGACGATGAAGAGGGCGCAGAGGCCCATTCCGTAAATCCATGCTGTTATCTTTTCCCAGCAGTCATCAGACAGCCGATGGAGGAGGGCACTGCCCACGATGGCTGGCACAATGAGGAACTGGGGGAAAGGAAAAGAAATACCAGGGTTTTTATAGGACTGAGACGTGTTAAAAATACAGCATTTATCAGGATAGTTGTAAAAAAGTAATGTTAAACACACGTGTCTCCCTTGGATAATGAAAATGAGAGCCAGATAAAGTCAGTTGCTATGCTGCCGCTGGTAGTCCTGCTCGGGGCCCAGGTCAGCCAGGGGGAACACAAACAAGCAACAGTGCAGCAGTGCACACCTGGTGCAAAATGCTGCTCTTTATCCCGACTTCAATAAGCAACAACATGCTCCATTCTCTCTAATCTGAAGCAGAGTTCAAGTTGTTCATTTTACCTGTTTGGGAGCTCGTGCAGAACAAAGGGGCTTGGGACTTACTAATCATACCTTTTAAGAGATCCATTCCTGAGGTCCATCTATTAAAATTGTTTTAGGAACCAAAATGTCAGACTTTTGATTGCTATTCCCTCCCGACACCCTCCTTTTCCGACTCACTAAGTAGCTAAGGATAACCCTGACTGAACTCCTGATCTTCCTGCCTCCGTCTCCCAGGTAATAAGCATATTCCACCATGCCCAGTTTCTGTGCTGCATTACACACTACTGACCCAAATTTCAATGTCAGAAGTCACCCTTCACTAGCCCAGAGCAAAGCAAGAACTGTAAGAATCATGTTCAGTTTGTCATAAAACAAAACAACAACAAGTTCTTCTACAATTAAACCCATTTTACTCTTTTCATGTCAGAGTATTCTCTGTTTATGTCTGCTTGTTTGTTTAGACAGGGTCTTCAAATGTAGCCTAGGCTGACCCTGAATGCACAATCCTCTAGCTATAGCCTTCAAAGCTCTGGCATATACCACCACACCTGACAAAACATCCTCTCTTTAATGAAATGATGGTAAGATACCTTATGTCTATTTAGAAATTTCACTGGTCTCTAATAGCCAAAAATCTGGATATAGTTTAATGTGATTATATATTTTATTCTAAAGGATTAACATGGAGGTTTTATCAGTTTTTTCTTAACTTCAATTTCTGTCCCTTGGCTTGTGACAAGTTCAGAAGAGATATGGAGTATATAGATCCATCCTACACAAATATTAGCTCTGAAGGCAGGCTGTGTATCTCAATGCCCAAACCACTGTCCTGCTCCAACTCCATCCTTGATAATTAAACTAGCCTCTTCTAAATACTCATCACTAAAATAGCAAATTAGTCATCTTGCCCACTTCTGGTTTTCAGACTGTGTCTCAGCAACCATTTACCTTCAAAGGTCTCACAAAATGCAACTTTCAAAGGGAGTAATAAAACCAAAGATAAAGGAAATTTATGACATAAGAAAATGACAATTACATGACAGGAAAACTAACAATACAAAACTATATATAGGAAAACTATAATAATACATGAGTCCACCAAGATCACACACACACATATGTCAGAAGTGACTCAGAAGTAAACTGCATTTATTTTAGGGTCTTTGTTTTATTTCTGGGTTATTTTGTTCTCTTTCTCCCTCTCAGCCTTTCACATGCTAGGCAAGTCCTCAACACTGAGATAGATCTCCAGTCCTCTTTTAACTTTTTAATGTTTATTTCCACTAAATTTTTGTGCATTTCATACAAAACATCTTAATAATCTTTATATCCCCTCCCCCATCCACACCCCCCCCAATAGCTCCACCACTGGATTTCATGCATTCTGTCACATATGTTAAGGCCTACTGAATTAAATTAGTGTCCCCAGACATCCCTCAGTATAAGTTCAGCCACCGGGGTCTAGTCAGCCTATCTAGAGTCTCTCCCTTAAAGAAGATCAACTCTCCTTCCCCTGGGAATAATTAGCTGCCAATAGTTCTTTGGCTAAGGTTGGGACCTGTTGCTGATTTCCCCAGTTCTACGCTGGGTTTTTGACTGAGTTTGCATGGATTTTGTGCATATTAACACACTGCTGTAGGTTCAGATGAGCAAGTTCCCAGAAGCCTGTAAGACTCTGTTTTCATGTCATGCACCTTTTTCCCTGGCTCTTACAATTTTTCCATCCCCTCTTCTGCAATGATACTTGAGCCTTGGGTGGGTGGAGTTTAATAGAGGACTCCTGTCCAGGGACCCACACTCTGTAGAGTGGTATTCTCTACACTTTGGCCATTTGTGGCCTTTTGTGTTCATCGCCTTGTTGCATGAGGGAGCTTCCCCAGCTTTAAAACCTAACAACCACAACAATGGTGGGCATGGCAAGCTATATTGGTGCAGTAGTGGCACTTTTATCTTGGGGGTAATCAACAGCTACTTAATTCTTATTTTAAGACAGGTTCTTACTAAGTTGCTCAGGTTGGTTTTGAACTCATCCTATTAGCCCAGCTACCATTAAACTTGCGACCCGAGTGGCCAATATTATAGGCCATTGCTACCGGCTTCATTTTTTCAGCAGTTTTCAAGTTTCTTATAATGAGCATGCTTTGCTTTTGTAAAGAAGGAAAAATTTAATCAGGAGCTGAGGGATCTGTCAGCTTCGTCTTTGGCAGGACAAGCAGCTGCCCCTTCAAGAAGCAGTAGCCTGTAGGGGGGGGGAGTCAAGGCTCCCTGTGTCATGGCACCCTCCCAGAGGATCATTTGGTTAAAAAAATAAACCACCAAACCATTGGGCTAGAGAGATGGTTCAGGGGGTTAGGGTTAAGAGCACTGGCTGTTCTTTCAGATGACCCAGGTTTGATTCCCAGCACACATATGGTAGCTAACAACCTTCTGTAACTCTCGTTGGGGAATCCTACACCCTCTTCTGACCTCTGTGGCACTGCACTACAGGGGTGCACTTATAGGCATGCAGGCAATACACTCATACACATAAAATAGATATAATTAAAATATTAAAAAAAAAACCTAACCAAACAAACAAACAAACAAAAAAACCCTCCTTCAATTCCTTCAACCAACCATGAATTGTCCTCACCAAATGAGCTCAGCAGTTTTTCTTGAAGGGGCAGTGTATTTCATCTTGGCTGTGACAGTGTTCCTAGGCTAGTTTCTCTTGCTGCTCCCTAACTAGGGTACTGATTTCCTGTTATTCTTTTAAAGATTCTGTTGAGGCAAACAAGTCTGGTGAGAAGGGACTTTAGGTTAGAGGACACAGCACCTCCAGGCTCACTTTCAGTTTCGGGTGGCATAACCCAACCCTAACTTTGGGGCACTTAAGGTCACGAAGATGGGTAAGTACAACTGCTTGTGCTAAGGTTCCCAGAGAACCCTCTCCTCCCACCAAAGCCCTCTGGAAAGGATGAGAGCAGAAAACTTCCACTCACTGCGTGTGTGTAGCAGTTAGCAGCATGTTCGTAGCAAGTTGGTTTGTAGCGGCCATTGGCAGGGGCCCGATGGTTCATGAAACTGTAGAAACAAAAAGCCATCACAAGAGCTCAGCATGTGGAGACGATGAGGGAGCCTGCGATGGTCAAATTGGTCTATTCTAAAAGAAGTTGCTGGTAAAAATACATAGTTATCAGAAAGAAAACCAGAGCCATTAAGAAGGTATAAACTTGGCCAACAGCAATGAGTCTAAAGCAAACATCTAGTTTATTTGATGAAATAATCATTCAGTTTACTCAAAAGATAAACCTCCTGCCCACCAAAAGCAAACAGAAACCATATCAAACTTAAGCAGTACCATCTAAATCAAAGAGGTGAATGCATAACCAAGTTTTAAATCTTAACAAAAAAATTTAAAGTGTTTTTGCCCTTGAATTTTAGCTATTGTCATTAAATAAAAAAGGCACATATTGCATTTGAAAGACCTGTTTTCACACTCAGAATGCATAAAGCCTTATGTATGCAGATCTGTAAATGCTACATCCCACATTAAAAGGCCTGTCAGACAAGTTTCCCTATACTGTATTACCTGTTCTAGCACCCACGGCTTAAATGATACCTGCCTGGCTACCTCAAGGCCACCAAAATAAAGAGTACGTTTTTCACATCCATTCTTCCATTCTTCCTGAGTGAAAATCTGCTTCAAACACAGTACACAGGACTAGTACTTGATACCCTGACTGTAAAATTTACACATACACACAGCCTGTCACATCTGCAAGCTCACAGTCCAGGTTTCCTTTAAGCTAACCTCACAATCAGCAACAGGAAGAAAACTCAGGACCAGGGGGGCCAGAAGAGACTATGTCCTGCTGTTCTATTTTAGCAAGATAATGAAGGGTCCCTCACCTAACCCACATCCATACAAGGTTTTCTCACAGTTCTGGATCATTCTGACTACTCTCTGGAGGAGGAAACAAAAAACAAAACAAAACAAAAAAAAACACAGCTATCTGAATAAAAGAATAAAGTGAGCAGGCATAGGGAAACAGGCAAGTAATAGTAACCCCTCAGTTATCTCGATAAGTAAGCTCAGTAAATTGATTGGTTCCCCAGTAAATCAAACATTCGCATGACACTAGAACCTCAAAAGGGAATAAGCATTGCTTAGGATCCCCAGGAAAAGAATTCTCACAGCAGACGGAAAATTTACTTAATGCTATTATGTATCATAATTATTTTTTTTAATTTTTAAAAATGATTTATTTAATAACAACATACTTAGAAGAAGCATATCATTACAACACAATTGACATATTCAATAACGGTTTCCTGAGGTAGGATGCATCTCTTTCAAAATTGGCTGTAAATTTTTAGGTTTACAGTTGAATTA